TACTATCTTAACTCCCAAATCGGTGTATGTTACTCCAGGTAGGCGCTTTTTGCTTCCGGTTTGGTGTGCCTGACAGAGAATTCCCTTAATTCTGACTGGCGTACTTTTTAGGAGTTCGTATCTCAAGCTATGCAGCTGCCTCTACCCAATTGGATAAGTATCTCAAGCCTGCATGCTGCTGTAACTAGCTAGATTTCCTGTGACTTTGGGACCCAGGTTTTAACGTTGCAAATTTGGTGATGTGCGAATGACTGTACTTCACAATATGGTGACGAGAAGTTCAGACATGTTTTGTATATGCTTCTAGTACCAAGTATAGTTGGGCAGCATCATGAGGCCTAGGGTTCTTAACAGATGCATCATTGTTTTCTATTTATAGTAATTCTCAGCAGTTGTAGCCCCCAGTTACCACTGCATGCACTTATACTAGCTATTCTGATTTTGGTAGGTCCTGAGTCCTCTTAATATCTAAAGACTCCTATACGGGTACAACCATTGCTCATTGGGTCTATTTATACATACACGCCTCCATATTTTAGCCTCTTATTGGCTAGAGAGATCCATACGTGTCAGAGGTGTTCTAAATCTGATAAGGCCAATTCTTTACTACAGATCCCTTTGTGTTCACCACTTTTTTCACCATTCCAGTTCTAATTACCACCCAGTTATCCTCCTAAACAAGATCCCAATACTACCTTAGGGTTGTTGGTATTACCTATGCCAACTGAGGATTTACACGCACAACTTTTGTATAATAGAACCTTCTGTAACAACTGCTGTTATACATAGTGCCAACTTCTCCACAATGGACCTCTTTCCGGAAATTCCTAATCCAGACTTGTACTCACTTGGGCTTTCCATGATGAGTATATTCAAATATTCGTAGAATCTGTATCTACTAGGACTTGAAACTAAAACCCGCTCATGGAGAGTTGGGTGCCTAGACCACTAGGCTACAGGATCCCAACCCCAATCAGTATTATAATTATCTATATAAAAAAAAATAATATTTGTATAAATTTACTTTAAATTCTAATATATAGATATTATATCTATACTGCTTATTTCATAGATAATTATTTCATAGACATCTTATTTCACAGACAAGTTCATTTTATAGACAGTCTATTTTGGTGATAGCTTATTTCATAGACAATTTATTTTATTACCAGCTCATTTTACAAAGTAATTTTATCTATTTTCATTAGGCTAGTTTAGAACTAGAGCTAAAATTAGTACAATTTACAAGAAAAAATTTTTCTGTAAAATAATCTGTTAGTAAAAAAACTTTATGAAATGAGCTATTAGTGAAATAAAATATCTATAAAACAAACTTGTCTGCAAATTGATTGTTTATAAAATATCAGAGATGATACTGAAATCAGACAATACTAAAATTTGTGATCTCAATTTGAAAAATATAAAGCCTACCAAAATCAACTTATACTTTTTTTATTATAAACACTAACTCTAAACCCTAATCTAACTACAAAAAAAAAACCAAAAAAACTGCCTCCAAAAATTTTAAAATTTCATATTAAAATAAGTCAAAATTTTAGTATTATCCAATTTAAGCATCATCCTTGACATAAAATAAACTTGTCTGTGAATTAACTATTAGCAGAATATAATTGTCAGTGAAATGATATAGATCTATAGATATTTAAAATGGTATAGCAAATTTCATATCTTCATCATATTCACAACTCATCCTTTCACTATTTTGTTCATACTCTTTATTATTTTTCTCATCTTCTTCATTATAATCATCAGTATCAAAACTATCATTGTCTTTAGTTTCATTATTATCATTATAAAGAAATGAAGATGATACAATTTTTGGTTTTTCAATATTATCAAAAAATGCTACAAATCCACTTTCAATACCCACATCCTTTGTTGAAG